CAAGAAACGCTTGAACGGAAGACGAGCTCACCAAAGAGGAAAGGAAACAGAGTATCGTCGTTCCGGTGTCGAGAACGATCCGATAAGAACAATGTAATAATAGTAAGTACATAGTTTGGTAGCTAAAAACATTCACTACAATGTACGAGAGTTGTTTATCTGCTCTTAAATGCTGTTACTGTCACTGTATTTTTATGACCTTCGATGTTTTTTACAATAATTCAAACTCCCTCCCTGGTACGCGTTATGCGGTTCGCTGCCTCATTCATCGTGACTGTGGGTAATATTCAGTGTCAGGAGTCACTCCCATCTCAACAAAATCAGCGTGGGAAGGACTCAGCATGGTTTTGTAAACTCTACAGCGAAGGAAACTACTCCATAGTTAACAAATTGGTCTTTAGAGAAATTGGGGCGAAGTCCATAGATTTCTTCGCGATTTAAAAAAAATTTTGAAAAAAAACGCCAAACAACTATTCGAGAATTTCTCTTACAATTGAGTAATCGTCAGATCATTAATCCGATTAATCTTTCCGATTAGAACAACGAGATCATTGGTGCTACGCTTGGAATATCGACACTCAGTTTGACTTTAAGCAGTCAACGAATGCATTGTTAACAAAAGCCGAATTATATTAGGCTGACTCATAATTTCTTTCGCACCACTTTTTTTTATCAAGTTCTTTTTTCTATCTTGAACCCGACTATTGCCAAAAGGCTGTGGTATGTTGGGTGATGTGAAGCCTTAGCCATCGCATCGTAGAACGATCGCTCGCCATATAAATGAGATAGGTCAGCGCAAAATGATGGCTTGTTGCACACCTTTTGCACTGACCGACCACCGACCCTCTGCACTTGTGACTGTCTGCAAAAGTCTTCTTCTGCGACTGCACTGGCAGGAATTTTTAAGTCGATCATATTAGGGATGATCCTGGGTCAACGACAAATAATACACGCGCCACGCTTACTTACTGCCTTGCGGCAAAGACCCGTCAGCACAACCGAAGCACAAGTTCCACGCTCGGATGATCACGCTATTTTTTTTTCTGAGATTGGAAGAACATGCTAATTTGAGAACTGATTGACTTTGGGCAGGACAACCAGTGTCGACGCCCACAGAGAACAACTTCGGGAGAGGGCTGCAGCAGTGTGAGAGAGTCCAAAACGACTCAGTGTCGCCCGTATTAGGATAACGCTTGACCTTATATTAATGAGGACTCGCCATATATTAGAGAAGCTGGTCTGAATCACGGTACCACATCCACCTTATAACCCTGATGTTCATTGGATTACTCTCTCAGTGCCCTGAAGCCATTTGCGGGAGAAAAAATCCGAAGACTGCTGCCAGCTCAAAAGTGATTCACCCGACTTCTTTGATGGCCACCCTCGTTTTTCTGAAAGGACGCCATCCAATCTTTGTTCAGCAACCATTTGTTGCATATCATTGATCATGATTGTGATTAAGTTGTTGGTCAACGTTTTTTTTTCTGAATGAACAGCAGTTGTATCGACAAAAATGTCGAGATGCGAAAGGACATGGGATGACATAGTATTCCCCGACTTCATAAAGCTTTTGATAGACCTTATTGAAAATTCAGAAATTTTTCAGGTTGATGGCAGCAACATGTATCGAGTATAAAGAAAGGTAGTTTTTAAACGAAAAACAGTCATTTCATAGATTCAAAACTTTCTGATTTTCCCACTGGTCCTCAACCTTTCTAAATAACAAGCAGAATTTACGTCGTCGGTGGATCCAACTGTTCTCAGCGACGGCGACCTTCGGCACGAAGACATATATCCTTGACATTGAGCTTTTCCAAATCGTGCACACTGTGTAACAGAAGACCTTCTCTAGCTACATCCAGCGATAATATTAATTACTTTCAGGAACGTCGGAGCTCTGAACTCTCAAGAAAGCGGCACGTTTTCCTCGCTTTGAACGCATCATTCTAATGACTCTGAAGTTACTTGAACAGCGAATGAGAAAATGTCAAACACCACGTGGCAACAATCTGAACATTAAGGATCAAAGGATGAAGCAATCTTAGCTCATCATTTTATGAAGGATAAGTCGTGCAATGGATATCACAAGAGTACATGGTTGCTTATTTGGCGTACACGCTAGCGTCTTAATAGTATATCAAAGCAATAATCCTACCATTTTAGGCAGATAAAGTACCAATTTACCACGGAATCGGTATATTCGTACTAGACATGTTCGGAAGTAGTTCATTCTTTCCAATATGCGTGCAATGCCATAGCTCTGCTATCGCAGAAATTTCGACTCCACCATCGTTCTCGAACATTCACAAAGAAGACGAAATCGTCAAAGAGCACCCGAAAGATCGAATGTAGAAAACTCACACAATAAGACTAAGAGAGGCTAAGACTCACACAGTAAATGCGATGAGGGATCATATAAAACAATGTACGGCTCATCATAAAAAAAATGAACTGTTGAAATCTGAAGGCGATTCACAATTTACGTCGTGTCTGCTTCGGCATTTCATGCTCGCGTACTTTATACGATAACTATGAAATGAAAGGAGCCGAGATAATACTCGATTACCACCCGATTTGTGGTCATGAAGTTTTGAATGCAAGAGTGAGCTCTCCACAACCAAATCCAAACACGTGACTAGTAGCTTCAACTGACTGCGAAATCCGACCAAAAGTTTGGTGCGGAGCGTAATAAGCAACTGAAAGCGTGTGCATTGAGATTCAGTTGTACACTCCTTGGCATGTACCAGTACACGTATCGAAATCATTGCGTATGACAACGAAATCTTTGATAATTGATATAATAGTAGTCATAGTAATCAACACCTCATACTTATTTATGTGTGAGATATCTATCGTTTATTTATATGCTTTCTAATTAGACATGAGCATTTGCCTAGATACTGAAATAAAGCAACCAGTGCAGTGCTTGTGATTTTATTACCTTAGTGTTGGCTTGAAACCCTTCCACGTTCACCAAACAAGTTATCATTTCGGAGTAGGGAAGAAGAGTTGCCATGTTTCATGCTATTACTTTGTACTACATGTGGAAATTCTCAGTCCCATTATCAATGCTTTTGCAGTAGAACTGACTTATCAACGTTCAACGACATTAAATAGAAAAACGAAAATCCTCATGCTGTAGTCTCTCTTACACACCAAAATTCCGAAGATTTTGTTTACAACGGATGACAAAATATCAAAACAAATGCAAAGGAATGTGTGAAATGTGATAGACATGATTTCGACTCGTTTGAAAAATTATATTAAAAATTATTTGTCTAAAAAATGTTCACAATATAACAGCTAATGTAATCTCGACTGCGGTGAGATGGACTGTTATAACGAAAACAAATTATCAGTGAACTCGCCAACAACCGCTATGATGAAAGAACGCCGCTGAACAAGGTTACTTGATTGCAGAGGTACTCCATTTCAATGAGTTTTACTTGGAGAGATCACTTTGAAGACCAACGTACCAATAATGGACCGGCTGTAGACAGTCGACTCCAATCATTTCGACCCTGAGGAGGGCCGAAGCGCCAAAACATCAGGCTAATAGAAATTTTTATAACCCCGCTTCAAGTGTAAGACAAATCTGGGTGAATGTGTTAGATGGTCAGTGGCCTATCGCCTCATCGTAGCGGAAAATGTCCTATAGTATAAGACTAAGGTCTACAACAAAGTGCTCATGACATCGCCAAATCATTAAAGGTATGAACTGTTTAATATCCCATCTGTAAGCCCAGCTAAGATCAGCAGCGCGTCAGAAATTGCCAGCTATTGAGTGAAATTAATAGCAAGATGAAAAACCTTCTTTCGGATGCACGAAAAAATGCTTTTGTCAACGAGTTAGAAGAATATTGCTTCTTTTGACTTACTAAGAAAGAACTTTTTAATCGAGAACCAAGGAATTTATGTGAAATATGTGTTGATAGCTTCCGTATTTTTCGTTAAAACAGACCAATCAGGTATTCAGCTATCCATGCACTAACCGATTTGTCTTTGACAGTCAAATCACAAAAATTGCAATTATTTGAGGTATCGATCAAAAGATTAGCAGCACAGCATGGAAGAAGTGTCAATCATAAAGAATAATTAGAGGATAGAACTGCTGACTCAAAAAAGATCTTTGAAAAATAGGTTAGAAACATGTGCAATGAATCTTGAAGCCATGAAAAGTAGAGCTTGCCCAACTTTTTGACCTTTTTTCTCAATACGGTCAGAAAAAGGTCATAGGCTTGCAATTTTTCCGATACAGGTATTTTCAACTCGACAACATCAGATCAGACTTGTCAGAGAAAAAACTATCTTTGATTAGGCAAGGGTAGTGGTTATCTGTAATGAAGCACTTGAAACGCGCGACCATGACTGCTACGAAAGTCCACACAGAATTCGCTTGAACAAGAAATCTCAACGATGCTATAGAGCAATCGCAAAAGAGCTGTATACATGTTATTGTAACCTACAATGAAGTGGTCTATGTGACAATTCATCAATAGCCCTAATGATTCTTCCACGTGACATGTCAGGACTAGTTAAGAGTGTATTCGTATTATTAATTAGTGTAGTAAAAAGCTAATCATCGACAGTTTTGCCCATACAGCAATCCACAAAGTGTCCCCTGATTGAAATTGAAGCTTCGGTGAGATATACTAGGTCGCTTCTAATGTTTTTGTTTCAATGAAGGATGCGATGTCGCTGGCGACATTGTCGTCGATCCAAGTCCCAGAGAAGAAGATTGAAAACACATAATCTGTTGTTGCGCCTTTTATGAGCGTCTAACCGCTTTTATTCTCTGCACTTGATTCAAGCTGGCCTACTGATCGGTTAAGATTGTTGATATGGTTGAGATACCCCGTTGCATTTGTTCCATTTTTGCCGAATAGTGAACCATTTTTGTCATTAACTCGAGTTCATTTGACAGTAACTAGAATTCGTTATTCAACCGTATGGTGGTATAATTATATATCCAATAATGCTGAGTGATATGCAAAGCTTTAAACCTCAGGCAGGAATCGAACCCATATTTCACCCTTTCCGGGTGCGCGTGCTAACCAATTGCACCAGCGGGGCTTCTATTCTGCCACTACACTTTCTCCAATTCAAAGCATATCACTCAACATTACATGATTAACATCATGCCACCGCTATAGGAGCGGTTAAGCAAAGAATTCTAGTTGATTACGTATACTCAATACTTGTCAGCGTAACTGAGGCGATATGTGCTTACCAGACTTAACTCCTGACGGTTGGTTGCTGAGTGAGGCAAGGCCTGGAAAAGGGTGATACCCATCTGAGATGTGAAGTTTCATATATCCTAACATTCTTCAGTATACTCGAAAGTGATTGTGTATAATCAGTGTGATCTTGATGTTGCTTCACTAGTAAGGACGGTTGGTTGCTGACAGATCTATACCTTTTATCGCAAAAGATTGTGTGTCGTCAAGTAGAAGAACGAGAGGTAACTTATTCTTGGCACTTTAAAGCGTACTCCAGAAAAATAAGCACAACTCATGAAACGAATTTTTGGTATACGTGAATTTTAGCTCTTGATTCTTTGAAAGTGTGAACATGTTATGTTTTCCGCATTCCAAATTTCATTTCTTCAGAGATGATTGAAAGGTTACAAAGCGTTTCATATGTGAAGAAAGATCATTCAACTAGTTATACATCCTAAAATTTCATAATAAGGGAGGTTCATGGATAAGAGCGGTCTTTGCTGGAAATTAGGAGCATGCGTACACTTTTTTCCGCAATTTCGTTATACCTATTTTCCCTTCACTCTTGAATTTTCTCCTTTTGCCCAGTTTTGTTAGTGCTTCTTTCCGCATAAATCTTGAAAAAGAAATACATTATCGAAAAGCGCGCGCATTTCCCCAGTTTTTTTTTTGCAGAAAGTAAATCACTCTTATCTATGGAATTATAGAGTAATTATCCTTGTATTTAATAGCATACACAGTTATATAGAACTCTAGATGCTAACGGTCTCGTTTTATATCAGCAAAAGAAGGTGAACCTTAACAATTTAATATAAGTTCGGGACATGTATGTGAAGTAGCAGAAAAAATAAACATTGTTGTCTTCAGATTCGATATGCGATGTTGACGAACGCTGCGACATTGGTTTACAATGTTTTGCGATGGTGCTAAGAGCATTGCCGATGAGAAGACGATGACCGATCGTCATCGGCAGCAGTCGTTTGTGGATGACAAAAGGAAGCACATTCATGTGCAACGAAAGACTTTAAAGTGTGTGCGAAGTATTTGCAGAATTATGGAAAAGCTTAAAAGGCATTGTGGTTTTATGTAAGCCAGGCGTGAGCAGAACAACAGTGACTGAAAAACCCAATTGAAATCGAAGAAAGAGGATCACTTCGAAAATAAATGCCGCATAAAAAGAGCCAGAAGCGTAGATCCTTTAGTGATGAAGTTCTTTCTGTTATTTCTGCGCCATCATCAATATTCTATTGCTAGAAATGAATCGTAGGAAAAAAGTAGTGAAACTTGTGAAGGGAAATGGTGTAGGGTAAAAAGAAAAGATTGCATTAATCGGTGATGTTCTATGCGGTATTGGGCAAATTTGACAACCGAAGTATTTCTCGAAGTAAATATCAAGTTACTGGGTCCGATTCTAGACTCGGATCGTTTGCCATAGTTTTCAGAGAACAGAATTTTCATTAACTCGACAAAGTGTGGTAAGATCTATAATATATACTGTCGGAAATGGCCAGTTGAAACTAACGCTAGAGATTTACAAAGCACACTTTGTGTTCATTTATACTGATTATATTGGACTCACACATAATTTTTAGATCTACTTTTTGTTAGTGCGGCACATGTAGTGCAGTGGTTAGAGGTGCATCGCAAAACACACACACACACCACACACACACACACCACACACACACACACACACACCACACACACACACACACACACACACAACACACACACACACACACACACACACACACCACACACACACACACACCACACACACACAACACACACACACCACACACACACACACAGTGTTGCAGTTTGATTCAGTCTAGCACGCCGAGCGCAAAAGCCTTCGATCCCACGAGGCAGTTTTTCCAATGTATCACCCATTCAAGTTAAAATAAGGAGTAAAATTACTCCCTTATTATTCATCGACCGCAAAAAGCAGTTATAACTTACAAATTAATTTCAAAATCGTTGTTGACGTGCATATCATTGTATAGTACATGTAAACAATTCAAACTTCACTGATATGGTATTCATATCAGATATATAACTATCATGATTGAGGAAGGTTAGTTTCAAAATTAGTTCAATGGCAGACCAGTCGGACAACACTCAGTCTTCCACTGCTTCTACCGTTGATTTTTTTCTGGGAAAAAATGTAAGTACTCAAATATTATTTTTGGGACCTTGTATGTTGTCTGGAAAAAGTAACCCTTTCGATGGACACTATTCATAAGAGTGTTAGTAATTATTCAAACGCTTAAATCTCTGGCTATTGCGTATAGTAGCTGTTTTTTGAAAAGCCTCTTTCAAAGCTGCAGCAGAAGAGAACATTCATGCTTCACATACGCATAATTTTCACAGGAAAGAAGTGTTTCTGGAATTATGAGTAGTCGTTCGGTAGCGTAAATTCAGACGAATCCAACATTGTGCTTTTTTCTGGAGAGATCATTTCACTGCAATGTAGCAGAAAAAAGAACATTGAGTTCCCATACGCAGCGTATTTCCATGTCGATAGTGTGGGTGCTGGAAAGCGGGGGAGGAGAGGGGGAGGGAGGCTGGCAGTGTATTCCATGCGCATACGGCAATCGATCGATCGACGCATTGGCGCGATTCAAATGTGGAGGACAATTGTTGTTGATTAAGGAATTTTTTTTGTGCTGTGAAAAAACTTTCAAAAAACCTATGCTTCCAATGCTACAAGATTTCCTCTACACATTCATATGCTTTTTGCGCTCCAGCGAAGCAATGGTAATAGCTCGCAGCCGATGTTGAACATAATTTATGTCTTAAATGCTGCAACATCAAAACGACCTCTTCAAAAAAGCAGTACAAAGCGCAGTAGCCAAAGATTCAAGTTTTAGAATGATTACTAACACTTCTGTGAAAAAGTTCGTGCGCAGCAAAAGCGGCTTCTTCATTTACCGCCACGTAACATACAGGAACCTATCTTTGTATGAACAATAACGAAGCCACGAGTATATGAGCCTACCGAGTGATTGCTGAAAAATCGCATATCGAAATAGAGTGAGGGAGAAGGAGGGTGAGTAGGAGGTCGAGGAAAGGTAGAGAGCTCAAGAAGAAAAACAAATGGAGAAAAACTAAGAAAGGGAAAGTGATAACATTTCACAGTTTGACAGAGTGGCGTTATTGCGATGTTGAAAAAATTATGTTAATTTTTCATTGTCAATGATTGCAATTGCACATTCAGACCAGATGCAAAGGTTCGAAACCAAAAAGACCTATTGGAAAAACGTCATCACTTGATGATAATAAGATAAGCACTTGGTAGGTCTTCATTAACTCACTTTCATTTCATTATGGTTCTTTTCCATTCACAGTCACTACTAAACTGTTATGTGGAGAATATCATATACACGCGAGTTCTCTACGGAATAATAATGGACGACCTACGCACTCCGAATCGTACAATATATATATATATATATATATATATATATATTTATTTATTTATATATACAATCATGTGTACATACTTGTATGCTTATATACATATATATATATATATATATTGCAATCATGTGCATATTTATACACATAAATATATACTTCCATGCATATATACGTGCTTAAATAGGCGCTTTCCAACAGTTTTATATGTACGACAAATCATACAACACAGCCAAATATACATTCATACACAAGAATCCCGACTTTCGCGTATAAAACAAAGAAATGATTTACGAAAAAAAAAACAAAGGAATAAGAGCACGGAATTATCTTTCTCAACTGCATTCTTCGACTTGTTAATGTATTTTATGGACACCCAAGCGTCGCACATTAGAAATGGTAAACCGGATAAGCGAAAAGAATTCAAGATGTCAGTTTACTGATATTCCGAATCTCTCATCCTCCACGACATCCACCAGAGCGGAATTTTTACAGGAGACAAGCGCAAACGGCTGTCTCAGAGCTATACGCTGATACGGTCAACGACGAGTTTAAAGCAAGAGAAAGCGAATGGTGGATTTAAATCTTTTCTCGTCACACAATTAGAGGAAGAAATGTTAATGATAGTCACCGTATTTGGGAAGTTTAGGAGTTCTGCTGAAGGATTTTCCAGTATGGAAGTTTCAATATACCGATCAATGCTGGTATCAACTCTCGATGGTCAGTCAACACCGAATTATCATACTAACAAGGAGAATAGCACAACAGATAGTGAACATATGGATGGATTGATTGATGATCATTACTTTTCTTTGCTTAAGATCTAATCGAACTCTTTTAATTAGACGAGTCTATGAACAATTCTATACCGCACTTCTAGCCTATCTCTTCTCCTACTCTCTTCTATAGTCTTACTTGGATATTAAATCATTTCAATAGTGACTTTGCCTAGCGGAATGCATACAATTGTTTATCCCTAGAAAAATCGTGATCTCAGGTGAAGACTTACAAAGATCTCTTAGCTCAAACGATACATGCTATGGATTGGAGAAGTTAATCGACTCAGACGCAGGAGAACGCAACCTAGGTAAGTGTACTTGAGAGGCTGGAGAGGTATTTATATACTATAAATACTTCTTACACAGTGCTGTAAGAGAAGCAGAGAGGTGATACAATTCATTTCAGAGGCATTTGTTAAGCCAAGACCTGAAGATGACAAATGGGTTACGCTTGCACATCAGTACTTCGACAGGGAGAAAGTATTTAAGCGAAAGCCACAAGTCAGCTTTTTTACCAATATAGAGGCCATATATGATAGTTCATGACTTGTTTCGTCTTCGAGTACAGCTCACAGAGCTGTTCAGAGCTGAACAGCCCAAGAAACGAGCGGTGACAGGAAAACGATTAAGATCTAAAATCTGTAGCCATGCGTAA